CATCAAAAATAATATACTACTACATTTAATAATACAAACATATTGACAGTAAACATAGACAAAATTATGTATAGTCAATGTGTAAAATTTAGGCATTGTAAGATAATTCTCACAGACCCGCATGGTTTGAAAACTAAGCATGGATACAAAACTTCACCAAGCTGATAGATTTAGAGTAATTACCTTCAGCACTAGAGGGCAGTAAAGTGGACACAATCTGACTTTGTCCAACTTCATTTTTATACAAAAAACATTGAAAGCAGTATAAAACAGCACAGCGTAATACAAATGGTTGTTTCTCATTCACCATTGACATCAGGAGGACAACAATGGCTGGTCTGTAATCAAAATGTATGAAACGACAACATTAGCATCAAGATAATGGCTGCCTGTTGGCCATATTTGATAAACGAGTTCAAATTAAAAACTGAATGAATGATATTATCAAACACACCTTGGTGGGTTAGAGGGCGCTGTCACAGATGCAAAATAGTCTTGATTTGTATTGTTACCCCGGATAACTTCCGATACTGTATTAATAGTCTGAAATAGAAAATTCAACATATTGACTTGCTAGTACACATAGTGGTTTGTTCACAGATTAGGAAAGTCTGAGATTAAAGAAAGAAAATATCAAATTTGTTGAAATGGTCATTTGCACATTCCATCACCACATTTTAATGAATAATACTGACTTGTAAAGCGAAACAAAATATTGTATGTGGTTATGCTAACTTAGAAACATTGCCAAGCAAATAAATGTCACTGCAGTACTGAGCTCTATAGCATGCAATGTAATATTACAAAGCTCAGATAATTCACATCGATTTCTGAAAATTAGTCAAATTACATGTGCAATTATTGTGTACCGTTAAACTTAAACTAGAATACTGTAGAATACTTTATTTTCGCTGAAGGGATGATTCTGAGAAAATAAAATCCAGCGAATATACTTTTTTTCCTATATTTCACATTACACTCATCAAAAATCAGTGAAAATAAATTCCATACAAAACGCCCAAAATTTATTCCAGCGAAGATAAAGTATTCCACAGTATGAAGAATGTTTATTTAAAATTCAACGCAATCAGTACAATGACTATAAAATTGCAATTTAAGCATGCTGGACTACTCAGTATGCAAATTTGCCCAGTTTTAATTAACACAAGTCATTGAAAATGACACAGTCCCCGTTAAGTTCTCTTTGTGCTCGTCATATTAAAGCGGAGGGGTTGTCGCGAGCGTGTCCTTGAAACTTGAGTTCCAAGTGGCGTATACAACAGATTGTTTATTTACATCAAAACACGTGTTTCGTGTCATAGTAATATGGCCAAAATAAAAACAGCCGTTATTCAGCCATCTTTGATCTGATTATGAAACATCACTGATATGTATGATGTATGTGCCAAATACGAATGAAAATGGTACATAAATTGTGGAAATATAGTAGTAAGGCCAAAAAGTCAGATGGCTGTCAATCGGCCATCCTTGACCAGATTTTGAAACAAATTGTCATGGATATGCATCCTAACATGTATAAAGTACATGTATGTGCCAAATTTGAATGAAAACTGACAGAGCACGTCCAAGATACCGCATAAAAAAACAAAAACAAGATGCCTGCCAGTTCGACCATCTTTGATCCATCATTGGACATGTATC